CTCACCCTACAGAAATGTGGCCCTGGTGCTATCATCACCCAAAGTCACCCTGTCCTCTTGTTGCCATCAGCAGACTAGGAGGTCCGATTCCAAGGCAACATAGAACCACCTCAATATGTGTATGTGTTTGACAAAGTGAGAAGAAATGCATATAAAGCAAGCATCTTTTATGTAATCACAAGTAGTGATGTTCACTCAAAACACTGGGGTATACAACAGTAGAGGAAAATAAATCCCAAGGAAACAACAGTCCTACTTATTTAAAAGCAATACAGAAATGGCATTCATTAATGTCAAAAAAGATATGCCAGACATGTAGACATGCAGAAAACTTTTATCATTTAATCTAAGATGTTAAAACTCTCTGTAATTTGTTTTATAATATAAAATGAACCTTTGTCTGAAAATTTTTTTTCAGATCATGTTAGTGAATCTGGATTCTTGAGTCTGGTTCTCTTGCAACCCAGGTGTTATTCATTAATATGGCATTATTGTAGTTTTAAAAAATCAGGACCACTATATAAAACACTTTCTCAGCTGATCCCAACTTGACTCTCTGTTAAGGACATTCGTTGTTTCAGGACATTGACAGGTGTTAGAGGAGAAAGAATTTGGAGATAATCGTCTTAGAGGTTATCAAGCTGGTGACTCAACAGCCACTAGTCAGGAATAGGTAAGATAAATTCCACAAGCCTGAGTTTCTGGCCTTCTACTCTCTCTTCATCTTAAAACTCATAACTTGTCCACCACTTGGATTTTCATAAGATGGAAACAAAGGTGCAGATGTCTGGTACCCAAGGCTATATTCATTGAGAGGATGTAGCAAGAACACTGGCATTCAACCTCAAAGTTTCTTGGGTGGTCCTCCCCTCATTGGACCTTGATCCTCTATGTTCTGCCTCTCAGGCAAAAGCAAAATGCTTGGGTCTCTTTCAACATTTCCTTAGTCTCTGCAGTGTTGTTTAGGAAGAAGGTGATTTCTATTACTGCCTAGAAATCATCTAGAGAAGATGGAACCCCATAGCCAGAATACTGCAGCGCCCATAACTTCATTCTAAAGATATAACAAAAAAAAATGTGGTTTTTAGTTAAAACATTGAGGTTTAATGTTTGGTACCATGAGAAAATTAAAGAGTATTCAAAGGAGTCAGTGAAAGTCTGGGACCCAAAACTGCTCAGGGTGGGTTGAGTTGCAAAGTGATGAAGCAACATGATGTCTGAAACATACATGAGACAGGGACAGAGACACAAGAGAAACAGTTTGCAAGGGAAGATGGCAAGTTGTGTGGGACTCACTGATCTCAGAGCTTGGACTCCATGCAGCCACCAGAAGCCAAGAAGAGGATGTTTAGTGAGAGGAGGCAATTGATCCTTAGAGATTCACCACAATGAACCCCTTATGGTTCATCTCCATCATAGAGATAACCTCATGTGTTAAGTGTCTGTGGAGTGAATTACATTAGGATTTTTCTTGAAAGGAGAGATTTATCACAGTATGTGAATTCCACAGCTGAGGAGTGTGACCCTGATCCTGGCTTGCTTTTTTTAAGATTGTGGCTATCGTTCAGAAGTTGCATCTTCCATCATTCCTTCACAAAGCCTCAGTGACCTTTAGGTGACACACAGAATTGGAGATGATGACCTCATTTATTCCATGTGTGTCAGTTCCAAATACTCCCATCTTATCCTTTTTTTCAGTTAAAATTTTACTTTATTTCAGCATTTAATTGCTAAACTTGCTAGAGGCAATATGTTATTTTAAGACTTGCAAAAACAGAAAGATGTTTTTTTTACAGCAAGGAAAAAAGATATCCAACCTCCCAGGAACCAACCACTGTTGTTAAGTATTTCCCTACTATATGTTCGAGAGTCCATATACATACATTTGTATATACACATGAAAATTATTCTATACATGAAATGTAAATATATACATGAAATGTAAATATATAAATTTTCTAATGTCAAGAGCTTAATGACATAGTCTATTTGTACTTATTTTTCAGTTACTATATTATTAAAATGGCTGAGTGTTTTGTATAATAGTTCATTATAAGAATCTATCATAACATCACAGCATACTTAAGTAAACTGTGCTTTGGGTAGATGAGGTGGGAAGTGCTCTCCCTTTCTTATCCTCAGCTTCTACTCTCAGCCCTCCTTGCAATGAGAGTTTTAGATGGAGTTGAGGCACTGCCATTGTGAAAATACACAGGTGATCAGGGTTATTGAAGCAAAGGAGAATGGGTAGTTTGCCCTTTCAGTGTTCCTTCGTGATAATTTTTAAAATCATGCTCACTTCCTTCTCTGCTGTCTATGCATTTAGAGACATGTCTGAATGTATCCACACAAACACTCACATCTAGACCCAAACCTGGAGAGACTTTCATCAAGTCCCTTAATGGCTTCCCTTTCCACCATTCTTCATATTGTACACTCTACTTGAGAACAAAAGCAATGTGTCCTAAAGGAAAGCAATGATTACCTTCCAGTCCATCACAGTGCAGGTAAAGATCAAGGCCATGGTCAGAGCCCCAGGAGGGAGCAGAGCCAAGGCTCACAAATATGCATTTGGAGGGTTGGACAGAGCACCATTGTTTTGCTATCTTTCTGTTTTCACAGGTGCCACAGAGTCATTTTATGAGTCGTCACCATGACCCATGCCACAGAAAGACAAATAGAGCTATAGTTTTGCTGGAACCAGTTTTAAAGCTTCTTGTTCAAAGACAAACATGATTTCTAAATCAGCCCAAAACAAAGCCCAAAGTCTGGACATCTCTGTACTCCCTCCATTTATCCCCTTTCTTCAGTTCAACTTGTCTTCTTCAATGTTGCTATCTCCATTTCAAATATCATCAGCTGATAAAAATCAGTTGACAGAGACTTGCAACAGTTCATTCTTATATTGAAGATGACAAATTATAGCCATAAATTTTTTCCAGGGGAGAAGGCAATGGTATGCATTTCCTCATTTAGAAATTGATATAGAAATAAATAGATACAAGGGTTAAATGAAACCTAACTTCAATCTATTTGATTTATAGCATAATTCACTTCTATTAAATAGCAGTGTATATCCAAAGTTTTAAAAAGAATTTTGAGACATTGGCATTCTTTAAAATACCATCATTTTAAAAGGAAAATTCTTTTGATTACTAGATACAAAAGTTATTAAAAAGGGATCTCATGTTCCTAACAAAAGCCATGGTTAAGCTTTTATTGGCAGATAGAAAAGAATAGGACATTTAACTCCAAAAGTAGGAACAAAAATTTAACATGATAACCATTTCATTATTGTGTTAAACATTCTTGAATTCTGAGCACCCACACCAGCATCACTTCTCATGACCATTGTGACATAAGGCCAACATATACTGTGCTCACTTGTTTACATACCAGGAAAATTTTATCAGAAAATGATGGTAAACAGTTAAATAAATAATACAGAAAATGTACTTACTTATGTATTATGTACTTCTGTAAAGTACATACATGAATAAGCATTCCATCCTGGGAAATCTGTCTTCACAACCCTGTTTCTATTTCTTTTGAAATCCATCTAGATTCCTTCATAGGTCTACTTATCTTTCAGTTCTTTAGAGCCTTACGGCTGGTCCTCTTTTCCTTTCTTTCTTTTTGTAATTTTTAGTCGAAGTTTTGTGTTAATCTGATCCATAGTAAGCCCAACCCAATCTTTCTACTCAAATAGATTTGCTAGCTATATTTTTAAAAGTATGATACCATCTCATGTTAATTGATGGGCTCAGAAATGAAATCTATTTATGTAAGTATAAACATACTGAATATATGTTAATTATTGTGTAGCTATATAAATATATACACATGTATCCCGAAGATGCAAGCAGAATGCACAGATCTCTTTAATGCTCAAGAGAGGGACTCCCTAGCACTTGTCATATGAAAATGAACTGTCTTCTGTGTGCCCTTCCATGCTCTGTATCTACCCTGACCATTCTTCATAAGCCCCTCTTGATGGAGGCCCTGCTGCTCTAGCACTCTTCTTCAACAGTCTAAGTATAAGAAAATTTTCACCATCCAGGGGCCAGTCTTCAGCCAGCACCCAGTCTTACCAATGGGAGGCATTAGACGAAATCAAGAAAGTGGGTGATATGGTTCACTGGAGACCTGAAGACCTTCAACACAGCCTATGCTGTCCTTTCTTGTGCATCCTCAGCCACCCAGCATGTAATGCCCTTTCTTGTGGCTCTTTAGCCCTTATTCTGTCTCTGAACCACATAGGTTTCCCAGGATACTAATTGCAGTCCTAAGAGTCACAATACTCATGATAAAGCAGTTAGCCCTATATAATATTTTATAGACAAAAAACCTTTCATATTTGTGAACAGTTTCATTACTTCATTTTGGTAGGGCATTTGCTCTTGCTGAACCATTGCTTATAACATTTGGTAGTTCCTCCCTCCCCTTTATAAAACATCCAAGTGGCTACTCTCCAGGTATTGTAAATCTTTAGATCTGCCAGAAATAGAAGCCTATTTGCTGATGCATGTTACAGTCTTGTCAGTTCTGTGGCCCATAACCTCCTGCTTACATAGCTTTCTCTTTCATCAAAATCGAGACAGTAACTGTAATTGCTCGATGGGCATCTGGAAGTAACATTAATAATGATGATAATAATAATGACCTCATAGGATGGATAATTTGGGGGATTAAAGAACATTTACAAGCTTATTGTGCCATATACTTAATGATGAGGTGCCAAGGTTTCTCACCACCTCCCTTTCCAGTGGTATTTCCTGCTTGGATCAGAGGACTAATTATAGAAAATAGTGTCTTCTAAGAGCTTTCCCCAGCCCACAGAACACACTAGCATAAAGATCAAATTGTTTCAGTGTTGTTTTCAGAGATGATTTATGAATGTTGTTTTGCAATTGTATAAAAATGTGTATGATGTAATCATTTAGTGTTTATTTATTGTGTGTACCTTCTACTCAGAGGGTTGGCATTATTGTTCCTAACAGTGACGGATACAAGCAGATCATGCCTTATGACCTCTACCATCCCCTTCCTCGGTACGTAAATCAATCATCCTGATGTTAGAATTAGCACGTCACTCTTCTGCTGCTGTAGTGTATATGTGTAAAAATGTAGAGCTGTAAAGTCTGTGTTTTTCTACAGATAAGATAGTAGGTGATAGATTTTTCAAATCCTCTCTGAGCACTCCTCTTGAATAAACCTGGCCTGCTCAGAGTGTAAGCTTGTCATTCAGAAACCATTTTTGATAGACTCACATTTCATTGGAGTGGACACAGTAACTCCCTCTAATTAGCTACAGTATGTCGGTTTGTGCTGTGTCTTTTTTTCACTCCCTTTTCACTGCCTCTCTCTCTAGCTTCTCTGGGTAGGAAGAGCCAGGTCACTACAGAGCCACTGATAACAAACACTGCCTGATGTGCAGTCACAGCACCATGAATATGAAATTCCAGGCATGGAATTATTCTAATAGGGGCCTTACCTGCTCTTCCTTTATTTTTGAAGAATTATAATTAATTAACAGCAATCGTATCTTTATTGTTCAGAACACTTTACAGGGTAAATTTTTTTAACACTTAAAGATCAATTGCTACATTGTTTTGTTAAAGTATAATATTTTACAAACTAGGAAAACGGTTGTTCAAATACCTTTAAAGGACTTTTTATCTTTATATTTGAGAGAAAACAGGTCGCTGAGAAATGTGCTAGTTGCCAGTTGTATTGCTTGCCCGGAAATAGCTCTGCAGGTAGCAAAAATTAGGATTAGTTTTAAATAGCTTTGCTGCTTTCTTTACTAATTTGCCCCCCAGGGAGTCAGCTGCTGTCTAGAGTCCTGGGTTTCTATGAGACCATAAGCAGTGCTAACATATCTATAGCAGTTTGCTAAATCCTAAACTAAAACATGCAGATAAATAATTGTGTTTTGAACAGCAAAAGTCAGTAGATTTAATTGATAGTCTCTGAATTCCTAATGTCTTAGAATCTAATTGGATGCTAATCCAACTCTCCAATGATACTTCATTCTCATAGTCCTAGCTCCGTAATCACACCCACAACCTAGATAAGTAAACACTCATATTCATACAAATATGAATTAGTGTGTTCTATGTATGTATTCACAAATGTATAGATGCATATACAGATATTTACATGTTGTCCAGTATCTAGTTAAAAATTTCCAGTGACTGGCAGGAGACTGTCTTGTCACTATTCTGGTAGCCATGTGCAAAGGGAGATTGATTGACACTAGACACAATTGTTGAAAATGTGTCACTAAATGGCTTCCTCACCATTCAGCTGGCTCCCACCTTGCTGTAATTGTACTAATAAAGATAGTAAGTGACCTCAGACTTCCCCTTAGATATCTTTTTCCAGAAGTCATCTCCTTGATAATGTACTGAAAGAAATCAAAAGTTAAGTATAATTTTGAGCCAAGATTTCCTTTGATTTCTGTTTCTGTGTCTGTGAATTTGAGTATTCCTAGCACTCGTGCTTTGTTTGTATAGAGGAAGGCCATGTGTTTTAAAATAAAGATAAAGTTGGGTGCTGATGTGAACAACACTGAGTGTATGTTTCTCCTATCAGGCAATCTCTAGATTCCTGTCATCTTCTGTGATTTTTCTTGTTTATTCTTTTTCTGGTGCAAGTAATACCTTTCATATGGTAGTCTTGACTTCTTATAGAATAAGACTTCCCTCAACTGTCTAAAATCTGGTGCTGCCTCATGCCTGCAGTCCCACTTGCTGGTTTCTGCACCATGTGTCCTGTTTACTTATTTGACATGCCCATGCATTCCAGAAGGAAAGGACAATTCGGTTAGCAAACAGACTGCATTTCTTGGCCCTTGAACTTCTGTTTTCCTGTAGCACTAAAGATACAGAGTTGGCTTCACTGACAAAGTTCTAGTGAGTAGCAGCTATTTCTATAAATGTGTTTCCATTTAACAAAATTAAAGCTCAAATAGTTCTCCAATAGCAATTCCTTGATAGCTGGAGCAGAAAGCTTCACTCGAAAACATTTAAATAGGCTTCAGACAAATATAGATACAGTACACAATTAATACAGTTTAGGTTCTTTTCCTGGTCTCTGTCTTTGGCTTAGCATCAATCTCAATGTAAGTAGCATAATGAACTAACTGATTGACAATGAGCTCCTTCCTTCCGGTCTCTTTGGCTACATCCTTTTTAATTTTGGAAAGTTCTTAAACTTAGCATGTTGTGGGTTTAAGGTAATTAAAATGCTTGTGCATTTAAATATATGACATGCAAATTTATTTAGTATTATTCTATTTTTTGATACATTTTCTTTGTAGTATTCACCCTGGTCACAGTTTTAATATCTCTGGACAAAAGAATGTCATCTCCCATCCTTTGTTAGACTTTAACATGCCTAAATATGTTGTGCTTTAAAATTCCCTATGGCCTCATTATTCCATGAGGAGTCACATGATACTATTTCACATACAGACCTGAATTTGTACACGCTATGAATCTGCAAAATAGTATTATCCTCATCTATCCTGCTGTGATCCACGTACTGAGAAAAACACCTACATTCATTAGTGAAATTGCATGGTTAAGGCAAGTGTTGAGACAGAAATTAATCATTCTCCCTTTCAAGAGAGGTAAAATGTCAAGGTTTTAGAGTGCCAATTAGAAATGCTTCCCTATAGAACTGCAATCATCTGGGTGATTAAATATCCATTAAAATATTGCTGCTTCACTATCAGATTAAATAAATGCACATGAGTATATGTTTATGTATTCCACCCATCCTGTTCTCCACCTCCACAAGTCATGCAGGGATTTGCCTGAAGGCAAACAGAGCTGTCTTAGCCTTTTGCAAGGAGAACTCTGCAGAATCCATTTATTCCCTTGAAATAACTTTCATTCAATCTCCAAGTGTTAGAGGACCTCAGTTTCCCCATAGTAACATTTTTTATGTGTCTTCGGGAGGAAAATACAGGATTTGGCTACATAGTTTGGCTGTTGACAGTGAAGACAACGGTGTACCTAAAACTGAACAGTGCAGACAAAATGCAGCAGAAAGTCCTCTAACATAGGAAGCACACAATATTATTCTGACTCCTGCAGAAGAAAAATCAAGCCTACAACTTGTGTGAAACTTGCTTACACAGTAGTTACAGTTTCCATGGGCTGCCTGCTGCCTGTGTTATACTTGAAAGTAGCTTTTCAGGTGTGTCAACTCAGGGATGTTTTGGGTTGTTCCCATTAAAATGAGCTCTCCCATGAGTCTTTAAGAGTATTTAAAGCTCCATACTCATCCTAACTATCAGAATACATGTAAGAAACAAACATGGATCACTCAGTGCCATGCTGCTGAGTTCTATAAACATGAGTTCTACATGTCTAAATCTACAGGAGGAGAGAAAATAATTAGATAAAGATCTGGTCCCAATTGCTACAAGACTTGCAAGGAAGGAAGGAAGGAAGGAAGGAAGGAAGGAAGGAAGGAAGGAAGGAAGGAAGAAAGGAAAAGAGATTAAATTCTCTTAAGCAGCATTGGCAATCTTGTTATTTTCTGCCTTAATTTAACAGCATATCTCCATCCAGTCGCCATAAGCCTTTTGACTGAAACTAAGCATGTTTACAAGTGAAGGAGTTCCTTACTGGAGGACGTCTGTGAGTCTTCACCAGCTAGAGAATAATATTGTTTTTGATACTCTGTTCCTCAGCTTACACACACTCAGCAGAGTTTAAGCACCCAGCTTGTGCTGAGTGTGTGGAATCCTGGGCCTGCCACAGAAGGGAGGGAGAAAGACCTATCATGTAGGGAGATGTGTATGAGCATCTCCTATCTATATAAAAAAATTAGAAGTGATAAAGCAAAACAAAGATAAAAGAATCCATCCAAATGGAAAACGTTTGTATTAGTTGCTTATTTTGGTTTTATATTTCACAAAAATACTTAGTGTAGAGTAATTAAACTTCAATACATATATAAGTATATGCACATGTATGCATGCAAGTGTTACATGTACACACATGCACACACACACACACACACACACACACACACACACACACACATATACATACATATATATAAGCAGAAACTACCGAAATAGGACAGCAGACTGATCTCCATTGTAGAGAGGTTACAGACAGCCCAGACATCCAGTGAATTGCTCCCCAGGCTGTAATCTGTATCTGTGCTGAGATTTGAGGCTTAGGAAACATTCTTGCAGAGGATGAACTTTGCCTCTTGATGAAATTTCAGCCTATAGAGCTTTGGTTCTCTGGAGAAACAATGATTGGCCCAGGGCACGGGGTTGGTGTGACAGGTCACTAAGGAGGTTTGGCAATTTGCACGTCCGCCCTGATGACTCCCCTTGCTTCTGTAGGTGGGAGGCCACCCCGTGGACCGCGTGCTCCTCCTCGTGTGGGGGGGGCATCCAGAGCCGGGCAGTTTCCTGTGTGGAGGAGGACATCCAGGGGCATGTCACTTCAGTGGAAGAGTGGAAATGCATGTACACCCCTAAGATGCCCATCGTGCAGCCCTGCAACATTTTTGACTGCCCTAAATGGCTGGCACAGGAGTGGTCTCCGGTAACTGTGCCCTCTTTCTTTGTTCATTAGGAGAGTAAGTCCACTCTTAGCTCTCACTATCATGCTCCACCTAGCATCCTATACAGCATCGTCCTTCTCTACCTGAGGTCTCAAACCTGTCATCTGAGTTCCTGGAGGAGGAACATCCAGTCTGATCAAACATTTGTTAATTTTCCTTCAAGTTACTTCAAGTTCACTTCTTCTTGTCCCTATTGGGAAGCAAATGCCTTCCAAGAGCTATTGAGGTTAAATGATCCTTAATCTATGAGAGCTGCTTCCATGAGACAGCTCAGTTGATTTCATTTATTATTACTCTTTGTCTTATGTAAAGTGGGTGTGAATAGTTTAAAAAATATGACTATGTATTCACTGAGAAGAAAAATGGTTAAATGAAAACAGCACAATAGTTTAAACAGATATGAAGTAGAATTATTGAAACCAAAATTGCTACTGATATCAGCTGTCATCATTGCTGTAATTGAGTTTAAAACATTACTCTTCGCTGGGTGTGTGGCTCAGGCCTGCAATCCCAGCTCCTTGAGAGAGGGATTCAAGAGGATTGCAAGTTCAAGGCCTGCTTGGACCACACTGGTAAACTCTGTTTCAAAATAAAAAGTAGATTTAAAGAAGAAAAACTGGTGATAAGACTCGATGGTAGAGTTCTTGCCTAGTATGTCCGAGGTTCCAATTTCAGGTTCAGTCTTTAGTACTGTATACACACACAGACACACACATGCACACTCATTGGCTTATTCTTGATTTTCTGCTTACAATGTGAAAAAGAGAAATGCAGAAGGAGATAGGAAGATGTGAAAGCAAGCCACTTCGTCCTTATCCTCAGAGACAACAACAAACATAACAACAAAAACACTGTGCTGTGTCTGTCAGAACAGATGCAAGAGCCTGGCGTTTTTTCTATCAGACCTGCCCCAGGGCTGGCAGAATTTCAGAGAATTTACATCTCCCCATTGACTCAGCTCTTATGATTTTTTTCCCATTTCAATATAATCAGTTGCATTGTTCATGCTGTGTTATAAATAAGCTGTGGTAGTAGTTTAACATCTCTTAGTATCCTTGTAGGAGTTAGTATTTCTCATTTTTTGGACAGATATGTACAAAGCAACTAAGTAAAGTTATATGGGTATTTGAACTTGAGCAGATTATAACTTTGTGCCTCTTTCGTGGTACTGTATTTGAGTCTTTCTTTGCACACAGTGCAACTAATTAATCACTACATAACCATATGCCAAAAAAGTTGAGATGATTTAATTCACTTCATGTCTAAAACCCAAATAGAACAAAGACCAAATAACTGACAAGAAGTGATTTAAATCCACCAGGACTCATATTTTTTTAAGAAGTATACTTATTTAAATCTTGGGTGGGAAGTTAAATAAGTAAATCGGCTTTGCCTATGAGTCTTTCTCTCTCTCTCTCTCTCTCTCTCTCTCTCTCTCTCTCTCTTCCTCTCTTCCCAGTGCACAGTGACGTGTGGCCAGGGCCTCCGGTACCGAGTGGTCCTCTGCATTGACCACCGAGGAATGCATACAGGAGGCTGCAGTGCGAAAACAAAGCCCCACATAAAAGAAGAATGCATCATACCCACGCCCTGCTACAAGCCCAGAGGTAACTGTATGGGGCCCCTTCACCTTTCTCCAAGATAATGGACACTCAGCCATCTTATCTCTTTGGATTGTTTTCTAATATCCCAAATATTCTTAGCAATGATTCTTTATAACACAGACTATATAAAATAGACTTGATTCTCTTTATATTTTCAGATGGGTTTTTTGTTTTAGTTTACATTTTTAGTTTTTGTGCAAAATAATGGTTTTCATTATAGCATCTTCATTCATATATGCATTATTCATATATATTCATATAAGTATATACACATGTGTGTATATTTATGTGTGTATATATCATTGCAATTTGCACTTACCACAACACCTCTCTGTCCCTATCACTGGTCCATTTTCTCTGTCAGAATAGTCCCTCTGTGCTTCAGTAGTGTGTGTGTGTGTGTGTGTGTGTGTGTGTGTGTGCTGAATATGAGAAAAAGCATGCATTTTTTTAGTCTTTGTGAGTCTGGCTTATTTCACTTAACATGATGATTGCCAGATCAAATGATCTTGACTAAAACCGTTATGAAGTAGCACATGTAGAAATCTATGTATACACTTGTCTTCCAACTCTTAAAGCTGTTTGGAAATCATGCTGAAAAATATTGGATTCATCTTCATAAAGGGAGACAAGATTTTATATATATGTACATATATATGTGTGTACATACGTATATATGTGCAACATACTGTCCACATTTCTTGCTTTTAAAAACAAGGAAAGCATCCAAATATTTCTACTTTGCTGAGTCTGACATATGCTGGGAAGTCACAGACTTCAAACCGAGAAAGCAGAAAACTGTTACTTTTTATATTGAAAATTAAAATAATATCACACTGAATTTCAGAGGTAAAATTTGACATAGAACTGGGACATACATCTGAATTTAATAGGTGTCAGAAATGATTTATTTTTTATTTGGAAAATACCTTCTTAAGCAAGAGGCATTATAATTATACTGAATCTTTCAGAGAAGTGTGAATATTGATCCCATTTCTATATCAATATTGTTGGTGTGTCAATGAAACTAGAAAACTCAGAATCACAAACTATTTGTATGTCCAGACTGCTATATGATATGTCATTCTAACTTTTAGTGCCAAAATGGTTCCCATATCTTTCTTCATATTGTTTCTTTGAAACATTGTATTTCTATGAAAAGTAGCCATGAAGCATGAAGTAGCACTACATTATACTTATTGTTTAAATGAAAAACTTTGTGAGCTCTTAATATTCTAAAAGGAAAACAAAAAGATCCTGATTATTCATAATAATTTCTCTCTGAGTTTGTTCATTTGTACAGTGGGGAAACACTAAAATGAATAGGAGAGGGTTACAAGAGCTATGGAATAATAGGCTTCTTGATATGCTCCCTGCCAGATACTAGGCTTCCTCCAGACATTACCTTTAAGCAGACCATCATTGGTGTCTTCAAATATCAGATGTGATGGCCACAGACACTGGGGTCAGGTCAATAGTAGAGTATTACAAGCCTACTATTGGTACCAAGCTGGACACTTTGTTAGCACTGGCTGTCCTTTAACTGGGGTGGATGGCAGAGTTATAAAATGATGTATGTGCTGATGCCCCACACCCATGAGCCAATCCTCTTGGCTTTGGCAGCTGCACATTTCTTACTATATTTTTTTAGCTACAAGCAATAGCTGCAAATAGAAGATAAGTAGTGAAAACGCAACTAAAAATAGCCAATTATTTATTAGTTCTATCTTTATCAAGCAGCTTTGGAGGGGAGAAAAAATTGTCTGTAGTTAACTGTCAAGAATAAAATCTGGATTTTTCACAGCTAAGTAGTGATCTTGACTCTGTAAGCATCGTTAAAATACTACATAACTCCAGGGTGCATGCATATGTGGATATATTTCTTTCATCTTTGCAATTATATGTTATAAAATAGTGACAGAGCTTCATTGGCTCATACTATAAAGGCAAATATGCCCATAAATGACCTTAATAAATATGTCAGAAAAGAGAATCTTGGCAGTTACTTCTATAGGGCAGTTAGAACCTCCCTTGTTCTTTTTCTCCTCCACATTTTCCCCAGGAAGCACTTAAGAAGTTGTTTGAGTTGTTTGCTCAAAGCTAGATGAATAGGTAAAACACATCGAATCATGGTTTATGGACCTTCAGTTGCACATGTTTCCACCTTGGGGTGATAATGAGTAAGTCAGAACTTTAAAACAATGTTTTACAAATTTCAACATGGTAGTTTGTTTGGTTTTGATAATGTAACATAAAATCACATTTAGCCAAAAGGCAAAACAATTATTTTAAAAATACCAGTGTCATTGACTTTACTTTGTGTTTATTTTACAAGGTATCAACGAGATGCTTTGTTGATTCTCTGTATGATTGTTGTCAGTGCTTCTAGCATAGGGACTTTCATAACGAAAGGACTTTGCAATTCAACATAGAGAACAGAAGCATGTGGATAGACACACGTGTTAGGATACCTTTAAATCTACTGTCCGGTCTTCTTGATGCAACTGTCCTCAATAGACAGCTATTTGTCACCACAACAATTATTTGCAAATATGACTTCTGCAGATGCTGCAAAACTAGAAATGCTTAGAAGGAAGAACTGCCATGAACGTTCAGGTAGTTTCTAACCTCTTCCTTGCCCACTGTATTATTCTCAGAGAAACTTCCAGTAGAAGCCAAGCTGCCATGGTTCAAGCAAGCCCAGGAGCTAGAGGAAGGAGCTGCTGTGTCCGAAGAGCCCTCGTAAGTTCAGTATGGGAAATCTCCTCTTCTGAAGGGACTTAGCGGGGTCTCACTGCTGTGGCTTTCACGGATTCTAAGATATGTGTAACTGGCTTCCCAAGGGGGAGAGAGCCCTCTGGGCTCTTCAGTTACAGATGGGTCTGTTGCCAAGTGTTGCTCTAAACTTTGCATTCAAATGAGATTTAGAACTTTCTCACATTATTCCTTTCTGAATCTAAGTATTTTCCAGTTTTGTTCTATATAGAGAGATACAAATAAGGTACTTGTCCTCTTCTCCATTTTTTTTCCTTTGGCAAAAAGCCAAAGGTGAGAAATTTCATGTTGATGATATAAACGAGACTAGATGGGCTGGGCATGTAGTTCAGTGGTAGAACACTTGCTTCCCTAGCATATGGAAGACTCTGGGTTTAATCCCCAGTACATGGATGGATGGATGGATGGATGGATGGATGGATGGATGGATGAATGGATGGAAAGACAGATTTGATATGAAAATCTGGGCACAGCATTCCACTCTCCTTATCCCTGAACTTTGTAGTGTGGTTATTAACAAATAGCTAGGCATAAATAAAATACATATAAAGATAAAAGGCATGTAGTATCATTACCTCTTCATTGGAAAGATGGTGGTTTTTACCCAATTACTTATCGGCCTATGCAAGTTCTGTTTGTAAACTGTGAAATCTGAGCCAGTAGGCACAGATTTACCACAGACTTCAGAGGAGTAACACAGAAGAGAGATAAAAACAGACTGGCTCGTAGATCCATATACACTCATCCCACTAGAGATACTAGCAGGCATATCTGTTGCAAATGTTTTTACATAGGGGAATGCTATTTACTGATCCAGTCCATATTTGGTAAAAAGTCATATCACAGTTTGAAGCCTTTCTAGATTACTTTAATGTAGATATTGGATCCATATGAGTTATGGATGTATAAGACATGTGATCCAACACTCAGGAATTCACAGTAGAGTGCACAGGATATCATATAATTTTCAAATTCAAGCCAAAGTGTAAATTTTGCTAGAGACATAAATGAAGATATTCAAGTGCAATTTTCCTCCAATTTATCCTGCTTGAATCTGAATCTGATATAATTTTTTTAGGATGTGAAATTGTGTTCCTGAGTTTCAAGAAATTTCAGTAATCACTCGTCAGTTGTAAATCATTTGTACCAAATTCCTTTTTTTTCCAGAAGTAAAAATTAAAAAAAAAATGTATATGAATTAAATGCCACATTTTAATGTAGAACGATTAAGTTAAACATAAATTATCATAAAGTTATTATAGTAAAAATTATTTAATAAAAAGCAAGTAAAGGTGGCAGAATTTTGGAGAAAAATGGTAGTTGAAGGTAAACAAAGCAATCTTTAATCAAATATATGAAGACATTTCCCCTCCTTCTCCAGCCAGGACCTAATTTGACAGGTTAGTGCTAAGGAGAGTCCTTGACTCTGTACCTACTAAGGTTTTATCTGAGACTGAGAAAAGTGTCATGGATTACTCCTTGTGTGTATTCTATGGCTAAACATGTTTTAAACCAACTGTGTATTGTTTTATGTAAACAATCTGCTCTCTATATACAACAGAATCTGCCATCTGGTCTAAGGCATATCTGTCTGTAATGTTGCATTCTGACTAATGTTAAAAAATAGAACAAAGTTGAAACTAAATAAAATCATATTGCATCTATAATTATACTTCTTTCTGATTAGTCAGTACCACTCCAATGAAACCTGTAAGCAGAATTAAATGCTTATGAAGAAGCATCTCATGATCATGCATATTTTATGATGTGTATTTTCCACTAATGTTCCAATTAAGATGCATTATGCTTAATTTTCATAACAACCCCTAAAGCAGCTAAACACACTTTCAGCCATTGAAATTATAGCCATATAAAATTAAGTCATTAAATTTCACTCTTCATGTAATGGAATTGCCATATTGGTGTGATTAATCTGAATTGAAGTAGATTATAATTGGAGTGCCAATTTAATTTGAAGGAAATGTATATAGTTATGTTCAGCACAACAATTACATTAATACCAAAATGAAACAAATGACAGCTGTAGAATTAGGTAATGAAAGCTATATATTTTCCACATTTTAATGCATCTTACATGTTTAATGTGCTGAGTCCTCAGAAAGGTCTTAAGTGTCACATTTTTTAATTGATTTTGAATTTTAAAAACATAATTTTGCATGGTCTTAATTCCTTCTTTTTTAAAAAACCACATAGACATGCTTCCAAATGTGTATAACAACCATAATTACTCTCCAAAGCACAATGAAAAAATGATATACTGTCAGCAAGCCATTCTTCCCCCACCGAAGAGACTCACATTGGTTAAATTAAATGGTAATGTGTAGAAGCTGCGGCTGTCAGTTCTGAACTGCTGCTCTGAGGCTGGAGGGAACAGAGGTTGAGAGTTCTTATCTCTTGCACAAGCCATAGCAGGCTTGGGTGAGTTATACAGGAAAGCAGCAAATATCACTGATTTTCCCATATAGAAAGTGAAAACATTATCAACAGCCTACTTCATTAAATAATTACAGGAAAAATCACTGTATTTAAGCTATTAGCATATGAAAATGTCATTATTAAGTGTTAGATATCCCTAATAACTCCAAAATGAAAGAAAAAAATTGCTTAGCACTAACCAGAATTATGTTGGAAGGCAATCTCTCTAAGACATGTTTAGAAGAAAACTATGCTAAAAGACCAAAAACTGAATTTCCAAGAAATAAATAAAATGTTGAAGAACACACAGATGCTCTCACATTGTGGTTCCACTAACCTAAACATTGTGTGGATTGTGTGAATCCAGATAGATCTCCCAGAAGCACTGAAATCCAATACAGACTGGATCATTTTACATGATACAGATTCATCATATTGTTTCATCTGAGGGTTGGAGTTTGCAGTTCAATGATAGAGACCCTGCCTAGTATGCCCCCCTGGCACTTCAAGAGACAAAACACAAATGTTTTGAGCTGCTGTTTTGTTCCTCAACAATGGAAGATGTACTTTACGCAAGTGGACTGTGGCAAATGTGTCATCTATGTATATACAAATGGAATTGTGAATCCACTTATGGAAATCCATAATTCTATGTTGATTCCCCCCCAGACATACCTTTAACCAGTTATCTTGGCAACACACAGCAAGAATCTTATTTTATGTATTTGAGTATTTTGTCTATATGTATGTCTGTGTATCTTGTGTCCATTGCCCTTGGAGACCAGAAGGTAGTTAGACTCCCTGGACCTGGAGTTACCTACACAGTTTTGAGCCACCATGTGGATGCTGTAAACTAAACCAGGGTCTTCAGCTAGAGCAGAAATACTCTTGTCTACTGAGCCTTCTCCCTAGTCCCCAAATTTATTTTTTCAATATTAAGTACAGAAGGGGTATGAGACCAGTTATTTGCAGAGGCCATCAGATGTAAGCCATGTCATTTAAGGCACCCTGGTATAAGTCATCTGATGTGGATTCTAGGAGCCAAATTCAGATCCTCTGCAAGAGCAGCAAGCTCTCTTAACTGCTGAGCCATCTCCCCAGCTCCAGTAAGAATCTTTAAACAAGGAAATTTTCTTTTTCCCACTGAGTAAGACAATGCAAATATGATCCAAACATCAAACTGAAAAGTAAGCAGAGATGGGGCTTTCATGAATGAAACCCATCATAGACTGTCGTAAAAATAAATACAGTGGAGTAAACTCATCTCCAAGGTTGTCAGCTGAAGAATCAAAGGAAATCTTTGTTCTAAATGGGGCTGCTTTATCTCTCCTCCAAGACTCAGGGAACACAGGGGAAGTGACAGTAGAAAGATTGTAGGAGCCAAAGGATGGTGAAATACATAGCAAAAAGAAGTCTTTGGACATGGCATAGCCATTACACTCATGAGCTCAATGTAACTGTGATTAGCTGTAGGAGATTGAAACATGATTAGGCCAATCAACATTCTATCATGGATGTGGGAGGGAACCTATGCAGCCCCACTACTTCTAAAGGAACTATTAGCTATCTATAGTTTTTAGGAAGAGATGTCATTTTCTTCAGCGATGTAATCACTTGTCAGTGGTCCTTGCTTGGGTAAATTTCCTCCCATACACACTGTCAAAAAATAAAGTAAAACACTAATTAAATTCAGCGGATCTCAAACAGATAGACAGACGGAGAGATGCATGCACGCACAGACACACACACACACACACACACACACACACACACACACACACACACACACACACACACAGTGGTAGGAGAAGGGCATGCTGGGGAAAAAAGGTTTCTTAGGGAAAGGAAATGGAAAATCAGAAAACAGAAAGGTAGCTGAAATTATGTAAGTTCATTAGATACATGTATAAACTGTCAGCAAAAATAAAGAAATCCTCAGGACACACATGGTTGAAGATAAATTTGCAATCAGGATTCTGTGGAGTTTGGGTTTTTCAGAGGGTGGCTGTACTTCTAACACTAGGAAGGGTAGAAGAGGAAGTGCTGGGGGAACTCTCCTCTGCTACTTTTGAACTGTGTTGTTTCGTTAGGTTAGGTAACACTTACACACCAAATTGAGTCCACCTGGTTATTTCAGATGAAAGACAGGAATCACCTTTAATTCATCAGAAGTAGCTTTATTTGTTTGTAGCTCTAAACTGCAGTGTGGTTGTTCAACTGGATATTTTGATTGGGTAGGAACTGAAACTGATTACTAATAGATTTCCCTACCTTGCCTTCCGTCTTAGCTGAGATGTACTCATCACCATCACTACCACTTGACTACACGTTATGACCTCTTTGACAGCTCGAATTCTTGAAAAAAAAAATTCTTATATAATGGTGGTCTCCAAGACTTTTTAAGAAGTGTTGTTATTCATCTGGCTTGTCTTTAAAAAAAAAGTCTGATTTGACATAGAACAGGAAAGAAAATGTCCCCCTCACGTCCTAGAGGGAAGCTTTTGAGAGGGATATGTTTACAACAAACAAAT